GCGCCGCCAGCTACCTGCTGGTGGAGACCCTGGAATGGGTGCGCGCGCCATGCCCAGGCGCGTCCCTGTGGCGGCCGCGCGGCGACGTCGCCGTGATGCCCGCCGAGCTGATCCCGCCAGCCTGGGCGGCTTATAGGCGACTACAGGACGATGGCTATGTGCTCGCCATCACGTGAAAAAGGAAAAAACGAGCGCATGCGAGAGCGGATATGCCGCTGGCGGATGCGCCGCCCTTCGATAGAGAGGTGCAGGAGGGAGGGGCGGATATGCCGCCGAAGAAGGAAGGCGGGCTCGGGGGGGGAAGGCGGCAGGAGGGAGCGGGGGCGGGCTGGCCGCCGACAACGAGGAGAGGAGAGGGGAGGCGGTGATGGCCGCCGAGGGGAGGCAGTTTGAAGAATAGTTGATCCCCCCCCTCTCCCTCTCCCCCCTTCCCCTCCGCGCCCCGCAGGCGTCCTGAGGGCGGCTCGGCGCGTCGACCTGCGGCGCCCTGTCCTGAAAAACTGTTGTGTTGTAGTTGTTAAAACGTTTTTTGTGGTTTTTTCCCGAAACATTGCAATATCAATAACAAACATGCAAAACATAGAAAGTTATGCAAATTTCGGGTTAACCGAATCGGACAGCCCACATCGACTTAGCTGACTTAGCTACTAAGTTGGGTATGTTGAGGTGTATGTATCGATATATCTTGGCAGTGGTACCCGATAGCTCAGTGGATAAGATGGATGGTTCTGTGAGTAGTATGTATGGTATGTTGTTGAATATACTTATCTAACAAAACGTTAAGTAGATGAATGCGAAGTTCGATATTTTATATATGTTGAATATGTGATGTCAACTAGCATGAACCTACATACATCTTCGTTGAAACGATTTCATCGGATATACAACGCTCTTACCGCACTTACACCCACCCGACGATCAAAGTGCTGGTGCCCCCTGCCGGTGCCGGCCCCCCCCCCCCCCGCGCTGGCCTGCACCCCCCCCGCGCGGCACCCCCCTCGGGGGTGGCAGCAGGGCGCGGGGGGGGGAGGCGAGGACCCCCTCCGCCCTCACTCCTCTCTCACTCCTCCTCCTCCTCGCTCCTCCTCCTCCTCCCCTCCTTCCTCCTCCCCTACCTCCTCCTCCTCCTTCCTCCTCCTCCTCCTCCTCCTCCTCCTCCTCCTCCTCCTCCTCCTCCTCCTCCTCCCTCCTCCTCCAGGCGGCAAAGCAGCTCCAGGCGGCCGAACCCCGCCCTCCTCTCCGGGCCCCCGGAGGCCCGCGTTTTCCGGCCCCGGGGCCGCGGAGAGGAGGGGAAGAGCGGCATGAGGGAAGGGGCCGAGAGGTCCGGGGGCGCCCGACGACGACGACGACGACGGCGGCGACGACGACGACGACGGCGGCGACGACGACGACGACGACGACGACGACGACGACGACGACGACGACGACGACGGCGACGACGACTGCAGCGAGGCACCTCGCCGGGCGCGGAGCCGATGGGCGCGCGAGCCTCCTTGCTCCGCGCTCCTGGCACCTCGCTCCTCGCCCACCTCCTAAACCTCCTCCTCCTCCTCCTCCTCCTCCTCCTCCTCACTCCTCCTCCTCCTTCTCCTCCTCCGGCCCAAAACCGGCCCCCCCAAAACCGGACCGTCCCGCGACCGCCGAACCGAACCGGCATAACCGACCCGGACTGGCAAAACCGGACCGACCAAAACCGGACCGGCGCCGAAATCGAACCGCTGCAACCGAACCGGTCCGCCGCCGAACCGGCCCGAACCGGCCCGAACCGGACACTTCCTGTTCAAGAGGCCCGAAGAGGCCTCCAAGAGGCTCGAAAGAGCTCCCCAAGAGGCCCCCAGGCGGCCTCCCCCGTGGACTCTTCCCTCTTCTGGGGGTCGGCGGAATGGCGTAGGCCTCTTGTTTTAAAGGCAGCCTCGTCGCCCCTCGGACCAGGCTGACCACTGCAGGTCTGACCCCTGGCCGCACGCGTGTCGCCCCCTGGGCGACTTGGAGCGCGACGGTGCCATGACACGGCCAGGGCCCAGCTTGCTCGTGGCTGCGCGTGTGGATGGAAATTGCAGCAGGTCGCAGCAAGCTGCGCCCCGAAGCCCAACTCAAACAGGCCCATCCCCTCCTCCGCCTCCTCCGCCTCCTCCGCCTCCTCCTACGCCTTCTCCGCCTCCTCCGCCTCCTCGTCCTCCTCCTCCTCCTCCTCCTCCTCCTCCGCCTCCGCCTCCTCCTCCTCCTCCTCCTCCTCCTCCTCCTCCTCCTCCTCCTCTGCCTCCTCCTCCTCCTCCGCCTCCTCCAGGGCCCAAGATCGGTGAGCATACCCTCCAGATGAGGAGGCGGAGGACAGGGCGACGCTGGCGGGGAGCAGCCCCTGAGCGCACGGCATGGAGATGCCCTGGCGATTCTCGGGGCCTCTTGGAGCCTGTCGTCCGTCGCGGAGACACATCCAGGAACTCGGACGACGCTCGGAGAGATTCCCCCCGAGCGCTCCAATCCTCCCGGGAGCGCCCGAGCCTCTCCGCCGCCCATCTTTGGCTTGCTCCTGCGGTCTCCCAACGCTTGCAGATCTCGGTCGGGGCCCGCCGGGAAACTCACGATGTGCTCCACCGCGGGACGACAGCGACGACGGCGGCGGCGGCCGCGGCGAACGGCGACGGCGACGACCGCGGCGCTGGCTGCGACGCCTGCGGCGGCGGCGTGCGGGCGGCGGCGACCACCCCCGCCGCAGTCCCTGCAAGCCCCCTCGCTGCCCGTGCCTCGCGCCTGCTGCCCACTCCCACTCCTCGCTGAGGAGCTGAGGAGAAAAATTATCGAGGATTGGGAGGAAGGGATTGGGAGGATGAAGGGTATGAGCAATAACATCCGAACCGGATGCCATGAACGATGCCTTCGGCCGCCTGCGGGTAAGGACATCCTCACTTCTTCCAGCCCCATCCTCCCGACCCGATGATTGTCCTCCTGATCCCTATCCTCCACCAGCCTCCCCAACTCTCTCTTCCCTCCTGGTGCCGGTGCTACTGGCATCTGGATCCTCCGGGGATGCTGCCACCCCCCTTCCTTCCTCCTCCGCCTCCTCCGCCTCCTCTTCCTCCTCCTCCTGATCCTCCTCCTGCTCCTCCTCTTCCTCCTCCTCCTCCTCCTCCTCCTCCTCCTCATCCCACTTCCCTCTGCCTCCTTGTTCTCCTCCTCCTCCTCCTCCTAATCCCACTCCTACTCCTCTTCCTCCCCCATCCTTCTTCTTCCTGCTTGGGCGGCTCAAAGTTGGGGTCCTAAGGCTGAGTGGCCTCACACGGTGAATGCTCAGCTTGGAATCCCTCGCCTGCCCTATAGGGGTCCCATCCCTCAGGGCCCCATCTTTGAGCCACCGACTCCTTCAGTAGGGCATTCGTTTTTGACAAGGGAGACAAGGGACGGCTGCAACATCTCTCGAGTAACACGTGCACTCCGTGGCGATGCTCGGCGGAGACTGGCCAGTGGCTTTCTTCGCAGCGACACCCCAGGAGTAAAAAAGCACCGGCAGGAGGGGAAGGGGAGGAGGACGAGGGCGAGGAGAGGAGAGGAGGACGAGGAGAGGAGGACTAGGAGGACGAGGGGAGGAGGACGAGGGCGAGGAGAGGCGAGGAGGGCGAGGAGAGGAGAGGAGAGGAGAGGAAGGGGAGGAGGACGAGAGCGAGGAGAGGAGAGGAAGGGGAGGAGGACGAGGCGAGGAGGACGAGGGGAGGAGGACGACGGCGAGGAGAGGAGAGGAAGGGGAAGAGGACGAGGGCGAGGAGAGGAGAGGAGGAGGAGGGGAGGAGGACGAGGAGGACGAGGACGAGGAGAGGTAGACGAGGAGGGACAGTGGGCAGCGAGGCCGCCAAGAGCGGCTGTCCCGCAGCGGCAACTCAACCTCGGCCCTCTGGACCTCCCCTCCCGGGGCCCAGGCGCACCGACGAACCCAGTCTTGAAGGGGCCCTGGGACACACACGAAGAAATACGCAGAAAGAAAAGGATTCCCCATAGTTTCCAATACTTTTTCTGGGTTACTGTCTTCCCCCCCCACTTCCCATATTTTCCCATCTTTTTTCTGGGGAATCGACGACTCATTGTGTCTGTGATGTTTTTCCCCCTCCTGAAGCTTGCCCAGCTGTGCCCGGCCGTGCCCGGCGAGCGGCCTCCCCCGAAGGCCAGCTGCCGCTGCCTCGACTCGCCCACCTCTGCCGTGAGGGGCACCTCCTCCTCCTCCTCCTCCACCTCCTCCTCCTCCTCTTCCTCCTCCTCCTCCTCCTCCTCCTCCTTCACCTCCTCCTCCTCCTCCTCCTCCTCCTCCTCCTCCTCTCCTCCTCCTCCTCTCCTCCTCCTCTCCTCCTCCTCCTCCCCTCCTCCTCCTCCTCCTCCTCCACCTCCACCTCCTCCGGGATGCTGCCATCCCCCTTCTTTCCTCCTCCTCTTCCCTCCTCCTCCTCCTCCTTCTTCTCCTCCTCCTCCTCCTCCTCCTCCTGCTCCCGGCAACGATAGGGGGGGCTGGCACAAGGGGGAGGCATCGACCTGGAATGGGCGATACATCGCCCACAGATCGGCGATGGGCCCCCGATAGTGAACCCGCACCTGCCTGCGCAGGTTGGAGCTATCGAGCCCCCATCGGCGATCAATGAGCGATCGGGGGCCGATGCACACCCCCTGTGCCTATTCCCCCCATGTCGTTGCCCCCGATGACTCCTCCTCGCCCCCCGCCTCCCAGATCTCCCGCGGAGTGCGGCGGCGGTGGCCACGACCCGCGACGGCCGCGGCGCGCGGCATACTGACATGTCCCCAGACCTCCGACGTCGTGATTTTTCCACAATGTCGACCCCCAGAGGTCTGGACCCTTCCCCGGGACCGGCTTTTCATCCTGGGTCGCTTCTTGACGGTCCTGGGGCCCGGTGAGGGCCCCCAGAGGCCGAACATAGCGACAAACTTCCCGTCGTGATTTTTGCGCAGCGCGAGGGGGTCTAAGGTCGGGAGTATGTCCGCGGGCGCGCCGGCGGCGGCGCCTGCGCGTCCTCCGGGCTCGGGCGGTCCATGCGCCGCATGAACGCGCGGGCGGCTCCGGCGCCGGCGTCCTGCCGCGGGGTTGTACCGAGGGGTCGACGGTCGAGGATCGACGGTCGAGGATCGACGGTCGAGGATCGACGGTCGAGGATCAAGGATCTAAGATTAGGTCGAGCCTTTCCCCCTACAGGCGGATGTTGGACGGACAAATTTCAAATACCCCAAACATACTCCAGAATTGGCAAAAAATTGTCCCCTGACTATCTTTAGACTATTAGTGAATATTCTTCCTGTAGAAGGACAGGCCCGATTTAAATCTAAGATCGAGGATCGAGGGTCGAAGATCGAGAATCGACAATGGATGATCGACGAAGCTCTTGGCACCCATTTTCCGGCGCTCTGGCCTTCCCGAGGCCTCCGTGGATCGACGGGTCCGAGGGCGTGGTTCTTCGGATTTTTTGTCTCGCGCGGCAACAGCAGCCGGCTGCCGCGGCAGTGCCGCATGGGCTGGCTGTGATGGCTTCTCCCACGGCGAATCCTGGCAGGAACCCCGAGTGCCCTCGCCAGCCAGCCCACGCGTCCCTCAGGATGCATGGCCGCCTTGCTTGCTCCCTTACGGCAAGAACAACAGCAACAGCAACAGCAACAGCAACAACAACAACAACAACAACAACAACAACAACAACAACAACAATTACTAGCACGTGGGGACACTCCGTTCTCACCAGTGCCAGGGTTTTCATAGGAGGCGGGCAATACCCCCACTTTGTGGGGGGGCCGGTTCAAGCTCTACCAAATTTCCAAACGACTCTTCGCCACCACCCACACCCAGCTTCCCGCCCTATGACGTTCGGACACTTCACTTCGTGGCATGCGGACGACCGTGGCTACTATTCAGGGCCCCGCGGCCGACGACGACGGCGTGCGCGCGCGAAGAAAAAACGAATGTGTCCCGCATGGTATTATTTGACAGGGATGATGGCCCTGGCAGGTGCGCAACCGTTGTCGCAGAAGTTCGAAAAAGTTGCTCGCAAAAGCCCGTTTGACAGAAATGTTTAAAAAGTGTTGGGTTTCCTACGAATCCGCAAGAGCGCGCGGGATGAGATTTTGACATTTTTTGTTGAAAAACCATTGGTTTTTTGATGTTTTTATGTTAAAATCGCTGCGAACACTAAGGTTTTGGAAGGATTTCGTCTTGCGCGCGCGAATGTCCACTTTACCTTATTTTTTGCAAGGGATTCTTGAAATTTGATTATATTAGAACAAGAAATGTCATTTTCTATTGTTTTTTGCAAGGGAAAGCGGATTACAACAAAACAACCGGATCCTGTACACACCCTCTTTTCTGAGGCTTCCTCACGAAAATGATGAAAATGTAGCTGCGGCCTAGGCGGCGCAGGGGGGGCGCGCACCAGGGGGCCCAACAATAATTATTCTTTAGAATAAATAATGTTCAACAACAACAGCAGCAACAGCAACAACAACAACAACAACCAACAACAACAACAGCAACAACAACAGCAACAGCATCGGCGGCAATGATGGCCACTTCCTGAAGCAATGCCCACCTCCACGGAAGAGATGCAACGCTGGGTGGCACAGGTCAAAGCATGCAGCCGTCGGCTCGCCGAATGCCAGAGCATTTCTCATTTTCCCTAAATCACAAGCGAGACTACACAATACAGATGTGTATATATATATATATATATACATCAGCTGTGTAACATAATAGCACATATGATGTATGTACATCTATATATACACACGTAAATATGTAGTCCTATGTGCACGAACTAATCCCAACTTGTACTCGCCGGGCGGTCCAGCAGGGCTGGCGTTTTGCTTTAGACTCAAGCGCGTCTCCTTGCAGAGCATTGCCCCCCGGTCCCTGGCCCTCCGCCGCCTTTTCATACGGCACTGTGCCGCAGAGTCGTGCAAGCGTATCCTGGCTTGCGTGAAGTCCAGACCTCCTTGATCGTGGGGCCTGCACTTCAATCCTCGAGCGGGCTCATTTTCAATCGCGGGTCGCTGGGCCCGCAACGACCCAAGACAGAGTCCGATGCCACCACGGAAGGTCCAGCACGCAAGACATACTGAACGCAAGATGGGATCTGAGACCAGCGCGCAACTGGCCCAGCACGCAAGACAAAGGAGAAGGTCGATTTCCGCGCCCTAGAGAATAAGGTGTCATGCTGGGGCTCCCTTCGAGGGAATTGCGACGATCCATGGTCGAGAAAGGAGAAGCGCGTCTTCTTCTTCTTTTGTCGCAGCGCATCTTTTAGAGAAGGGGCGGAGATGGGTGGAAGCAGAAGTCGCGACAACCAGCCTGCCGATCCACCCGTCCTTCTGTTCAGCGCGGGGCATAAGAACGGAACCCAGAACGGTACCAAATAATCCATTCACCGTGTGGACGCCAGGGGGTCCCAAGAGACTCCCAAGAGGTCCCCAGGATGCCCTAAAGAGGGCTCCAGGGCCCGTGGAGTGAGCGAAGCGATCAATAATCCATTCGCCGCGTGGACGCAGGAGGGGCAGGATGAGGAGGAGGAGGAGGGGGGGAAGGGAGAGGAAGGGGAAATCGAGCATGCTTGGCCGCCCAGAAGCCTCTCAGCCGCTCGGGGGCGTCCAACGAGGGCGGGGTGCGCAGCATGGCCCGAGGCACGTGCGCGGCCCAAGGGGGGGGGGGCCAAGGGACGTGCTGAATAAAGAAGGGGCGGCCGTGAAACCTGGGAGACTTCATGAGGCCTGACCACTTGCCATCGCTCGGACGTCCATTCCTCGTGTATTTTTCGATTTCGTGCGTGTTTTTTTCGCCAAATGATCAAGGATGGTCCTCGATGGCCGTCGCCGAGAAAAACTGCACACGTCCGACCGATGCCAAGGGCCATGGTATCTAGTCACCCCCGCTAGGTCATCACCCCCCTCCAGGACGCCCCCGACGAGGGGGAGAGGAGAGGAGGACAGACCGAGAACGCTTCGTCTACGAGCCCCTGGAGGCCCCTCTGGGGGCCTGCAGCAAGGCCCTCTGGGCCCCGGGGGCCAACGTCGGAGGGCCCCCCGGGGGGCGGCGGGAGGGCTCCGGAGAAAGAGCCAGGGTCAGGTGCTCGTTCTGGGGGCCTTCCTGGGGCCAATCGCGCTACTCTCATGCGTCGATGCTGCGTCGAACGTCCGTCGACTTGAGTCGAACTTGAGCCTCCTCCTCCTCCTCCTCCTCCTCCTCCTCCTCCTCGTTCGTTCGGTTCTTCCCTTCTCCATCCCTTGTCCTTCTAAATAACTTCTCCCTGTCGACCCCGAGGCGTCTCCGTAGGGCGGGCCGTGCGTTCCGCCTGAGACTTCTTAACGATGTATGTTCCTAAATCTTGAATTTGCAACAGATTCACGGATCGAGGGCGGGGCAGTTTTCAAAACTTGGCTCTCGCCTTAGCAACGCGCGCATTCGTCGTAAACCTTTGCAGCAATTTTACGGATGGAGGGCGGTTCCCTTTCAAATGTGGCTCTCGCCTCAGCGCCGTGCACACTCGTCTTAAAACTTTGCCGCACTTTCACGGATGAAGGGCGGGCCGTTTTCAACCTTTCACTCTCGCCTTAGCGCCGCGCGCATTCAACTTAAACGTTTGCAGCAACTTCCCGCATGGAGGGCGGCGCTGTTCTAACATGTGGCTCTCGCCTTAGCACCGCGCACATTTGTTTTTTCGAACACTGCAAGAGTTTCACGTATGGAGGGAGGCTCCTTTTCAAAAAGTGGCTCGCACCTGAGCGCCGCGCGCGTTCGTCTCAAAAGTCTGCAGCAGTTTTGAAGATTCGTACGGTGGGAGTCCCAGGGACGGTGTTCTGGCAGGACTGTCAGGATGCAACAGTAAAGTTGGTTCGTGGTGTTGAGGTCCCAGGAATGGTGTTCTGGCACGATTCATGATCGTCAGGACGCAACAACCACGTTGATTCGCGGCGATGAAATCCACGGAATGGTGCTGTGGCACGGTTGAAGACTCTCATGCGGTTGTCTTCCAATGGGGCACTTCCCGTAATAATAATACATCCTTGTTGGCACCTGTGAAAAGAGAATCCCACCAGCCCTCTGGGCGTCGGTGGTTTAGGGCGTTTCCTCTTCCACCCCTCCCTCTTCCCCTTCGGGGAGGGGTTTACCCCTCCCCCTACCCCCTCCCCACTGACCTGGACAGGAGGGGCGGGGAGCGGTCAGAGCGTCCAAAACGGCCTCGGCGAGGAAGCCAAAATCATTGATTTTACTATGGTTTTGGCCCCATTTTGGCCTTCTGAGGGGGCAGCGCTAATTAGAGCTCCCCTCTTCTTTGATCGATTTCCTCCACGATGGCCGCAAGAGGCCCCCAGGATGCCCCAAGAGGCCGCAGGATGGCCCCAAGATGGCCCCAAGAGGCCCCCCAAGAGGCCCCCAGGAGGCCCCCAAGAGACCCCCAAGAGGCCCCAAGAGACCCCCCAGATGCACCCAAGGGGCAAAGATTGCCCCAAGGAGCGCCCAGGAGGCCCCCAAAGGCCCCAAGATGGCCCCAAGAGGCCCCAAGAGGCCCCCAGGAGGCCCCAAAGAGGATCCCGAACGGCCCACAGAGGCCCCCCGAGGCACCCAAGACGCCGAAAAGCCCCTCAGGACGACCCTCTACTCGCCTGGGCGTCGTTTCTGGACGGGCTGGTGGGGATACTTTTTTTTTACAGCCGCAGGCGGAAGCGCCAGCGGCGAAAGGTCGCGAAACCTGCTGGTGGGGATACGCGAAGCGTCTAGAATTTGGAGGGAAGGTTCATTGCACCATCGTTGAGGCGTCTTGGGTTTGCACTGGTCCCCCTCCTTCTCCTTCTTCTCCTCCGCCTCTGGCTCAGGCTGTCAGCATCGGTGTTCGGTCGAACTCAACCGTCCCCCCACCCACGGGCGGTCGCTTCCTCCGCTTCCTCCTCCTCCTCCTCCTCCTACTTCTCCGTCCCTCCTTCGTACAGTAAATCCCCTTCGCCGCACCACCAGACGCGTCGATAGGGCGAGACACCTTCACCGCATATGATAATTGAACTTGATACTTCCAACATGTACAGGAATCGACGGTGGCCCGCTTTCATAATGTGGCTCTCGCCTTAGCGCCGCGCTTATTCACATTGCAAGTTTCCAGCATCTACGAGGACCGAGACCAGCGCGTCTTCAAACTCTGGCTCTCGGCTTAGCGCCGCGTGCATGCGTCTTAGATGCTTTCAGCAGTTGTGAGGATTGAGGGCGGCCTCTTCAAACTGAATGTGCATACGTGTGAACGTGTGCAATCATTCCAGGGACATCCTCCTTTTGACTACCAGATTACCCCCACTTAGGGGTCGCTCCTGCTCCCCCTCCTTGCCCTCCTTCCTTTTCTCCCTCCTCCTAGTCCACCCTCCTCCTCCTCCTCCTCCTCCTCCTCCTCCTCCTCCTCCTCCTCCTCCTCCTCCTCCTCTCTACTCCCTCCCTCCCCTTCTCGGTGGGCTCCTCTCCTCCTCTCCTCCTCCTCCTCCTCCTCCTCCTCCACCCTCCTCCTCCCTCCCCTCCCCCCCTCCCCCCTCCTCCCCTCCCCCTCCTCCTCCTCCTCTCTCCTTCCTCCTCTCTCCTCCTCTCCCCCTCCTCCTCCTCCTCTTCCTCCTCCTCCTCCTCCTCTTCCTCGTCCCCCACCCTCCTCTTCCCCGTCCTCCTCTCAAGCCCTCTGTTCGAGCCCTTCCGTAGGTCGCACCTTGGCTCAGAAAGGGCGCGCCATGGTGGCTGCGAGCCGACACCCGCGCACCCACCGCCTCAGGTCACGCTGCACGTGGCGAGTGACCCTGGCTGGTCGCTTGATGGGGGAGCCCCAGAGAGGCCGCTTAAGCGCGGGAAGTGGACAGTGGATGGCCGATACCTGCGGCCCTTCAGCAGAGAAGCAAGAACCATGCGAATGCTTTTCCCCAGTTGTGAGCCTTGATGAGGCATCAGGTGCACCAGTGGCGCCAGCAGGGCTACCGAGCAGTGGACAAGGTTCTGCGCATGGAGATGGAGACGGCGCTCACGGAGGCCATGCCCAGTCAGGGGGCCGAGCCGAGGATCCAGGAAGAAGACCGCCCCAGAGCAGAGCGACTCACTTCCCTGTCATCCCGCCGTGGCCGTTGCCGCGCAAAGGCGACCAGCGGCAACCAGCGCCTGACGAAGGAGGAGGGCGAAGAGCCCAAAGAGGAGCTCCCGAGTTCCAGCGACGAGCACTAAAACAGCTCCGCAGGATCCGAGAGGGCCCTGCCGTCGCCCTGCGAGGATCCAGCGGGCCCAGCGGATGGCTCACGAAAGGACCCAGCAGAAGGGTCCCCAGCGGAGCCACTGGAGCCGCGAATGCCGCAGGAGGAGACGAACGACCACAGCGAGGAGAGGGCCCGCCACAGCAGCAGAGACGAAACCCACTCGCCCGGGCCCCACGGGCGCCACCGGGCGCCACCGGGGGGAGCGAGCGACCCGCTCGCGCAGTCGGCCCCGAAAGGCTGGCCGCGAGGGCAGCGAAGCCCCGCGGCGACCTGGATCGGGGCGGAATGGGCGCACGGCGTGGCGGGAAGCTGGCCCCCGCCCGCCCACCCCGCGGGGAGCGCCGACCCAGCGTCCGGCAGGGCACAGGCCGACGGCAGGGCCATCGGCAGGTGCACCCAGGGTGCACCCTGCGCAGCCCGGGGCCAGCAGCCCCAGGCGCGGGGGCGGCAGGCAGCCCCGCGAGGGTCACAAGAGGGCCAGGCACGCAGCGAAGCTGCCGAGGCGCCGCGCCGGGAGCCCGAGCGGGCAGCAGTGGAAGAAAGCCTGCTCGCCCGAGCGGGCCAGGCCCCGGCGCTCGAAGCCGGGCCAGAGTGCGCGGGCTCATGAGGGCCTGGCAGACGAGCACCGCCGAGGCGGCGAGCAGCGCAGCACAGTCGAGGTTGATTGGAGAGGGCACGCGAGAGGACTCGAGACCCTTCCAAAGGCCACATTGCCACAGGAATGCAAAAGGCATGGGTCGCGCAACGCAGGGCACGAGGGCACCCTTGATTTGGCACTGTCGACCTACCAATCCGCCTCGACTATGAGGCCGCCAACCAGGCCCAAAAAGAAACACAAGTTGAGGACCATGGTGCGCTGCGAATGCGGCAACATGATCTGCCAGGGCCGCCTCAAGATGGCCCCCCCGTGCAAGTGCGGCAAGCAGCTACCGACGACGCCTCCAGCGGCGCCGACAACACAGGTCAAGCGCCCTCCAGGTGCCCGCTCCTCGCCTTCGACATCGCGGCTTCGAGGAGAAGGGCGGTGCTGTAACGCTGACACCGCCAACCGCTACACGAGCCACCTCCGCACTGCCCTGCTGGCAAGCCGAGGTGCAAACATCTGGCCCCGATGCGCCAGACTGCGAACACAGTTTCGACTCCAAGGGGAGCTCGAGCGGAACCAGCGAAGAAGAGGTGGGCCCTGCTGAGACGACCGCTGCAAGTGGCTTGGCGCCTAGCGCCACAGCTTTGCGCAACGAGAGATACGGCAAAGGAGCAAACCGAACCAGGCCCGCTGCCTTGGCCACGCGAGGGCGACAGCTTGGCCCCTGCACGCGGTGAGAGCCAGCCTTGCGGAGTGAGGCCTCCCCCCAACCCCGCCCTGCTGAGCGTGGGTGACAACCGCCACAAGCAGCGGTCGGTGGAACCAGATGCCGATGCAGACGACGCGGAAGGCTGCATCAACGCCGTGAAGGCACACCAGCGAGAAATGCAGGCACTTCAGCAATGGGCCTGCGCGGGGCGAGGCAAATCCGACGACGCCGACGTCGACCAATTCCACCACGATTTGGTGCGGTACCTTCCCGCTCTGGCGACCCTAGCGGACTCCAGCGAAGAGGGTCAAGATCGCCAAGATAGAGCAGACATGGTGTATGTAGGTTAACGACCAAAGCGTCGAGCCTTCTGAGGTGTCCGTAGGCAGAGGAAGGTCAGGGAGAGGGTAGCGACCCCTTTTCCCCATGCGCCGCGGGCAGGCGGCGCTGTACCTGTCTCCAATACCTGAGCCGAGACGGCAGCAGCATGGATGGAGAGAAAGCTGACACGAGCGGACTTCACACACAGAAGCGCGGGCTGGCTCCGCGCCTCGGCATGCGGCCGGCCTGCTGCCCGCGGGCCTCGCCTGCGGGCGCCCGCTCCGCACTCCGCCCTCCCACCCGGCCGTGGGCGTCCGCGGCTTCGCCGCTGGCGTGGCTGCACTTGGTCCGAGGGGCTCCGATAGCTCTTCCCCGGCCTCCTCGTCCCCAGCCTCCTCCCCCATCTCGGCGGTGGACAAACCTCCCTTTAGTAGACCTCCCCTCAGTGAAAACGGCTTGAGACCGAAACCGACGGACCTGGACGCGCAAAAATGACGGCCGCGACGCCCTCTCGCGAACCGAAAACGGCGAATTCCTTAATCGACGTGTCAGGGTAGGAGGTCTGTCCACCCCCGACCATCCCTCTTCCTCGCGAATCACTCCTCCCCGTCGCACCCCCCAGGGGCCGGTGGAAAGGGCAGGCCGGGCGTCTCGCCCGAGGCTTCCTCGCCACCTGTGACCCTGAGGCTTGGAATTTGCAAGAGTCTCACGGATGCAGGGCGGGCCGCTTTCAAAATGTGGCTCTCGCCTCAGCGCCGCGCGCATTCATCTCAGACAATGGCAAGAGCTTCACGGATGGAGGGCGGTTCCCTTTCAAAATGTGGCTCTCGCCTTAGCGCCGCGCGCATTCGTCTTAAGAGTTTGCAGCAGTTTCAAAGATGCTCATGGTTGACGTCCCAGAAATGGTGTCTTGGCACAGTGTCGGAATGTCAGGGCGCATCAGTCACGTTGATTCGCGGTGTTGAAGTCCCAGGAACTGCGTTTTGGCATGATTCAGGAATGCCAAGACGCAACAGTCACGGTGACTCGCGGCGTGGAAGTCCCAGGAATGGTGTTCTGGCACAGTTCAGGATTTTCAAACCGTTGTCTTCCAACGGGGTACTTCCATCAGTGAACGTGAACCCTTATAGGGGCCTATGAAGAGGAAACTTGGAGGGCGGGCTTCTTGCAACATCGTTGATGAGCCTTGGGTCTACACTGGTCCTCCTCCTCCTCCTTCTCCTCCCCTATCCTCCTCCCAGTCCTCCTCCCCATCCTCCTTCTCCTCCTCCTCCTCCTCCTCCTCCTCCTCCTCCTCCTCCTCCTCCTCCCCATCCTCCTCCCAATCCTCCTCCTTTTCCTCTGCCCTCTCTCCTTCCCCTCCTCTCTCCCTCTGTCCTCGGCTGGCTGCTGCGGCTGCGCGGCGGCCGGCGCGGCCGCGAACGCGGCCGGCCGCCCGGCGGCCTGAGCCGCCCCGAGCCTCCTGCCGGCGGCCGCGCCGGGGGCGGCCGTGCTGCCTGGCGGGGCGACGGGGGCGCGGGCGCAGCCGCCGCAGTCGCAGCAGCCGGCGCTGCCACACAGTGCGGGGCGCTGCCCTCGCAAGAAACCCCAGCAGCTTCTTTGGCGGCCGCGGGCAGTCCCCGCGCAGCGCGCGGAGCGAAGAAACCCAGGCTACCCTGACGAAAAGCAGATGGTTTCTTGGTGCGCGCCCCCACAGTAGGGAACGCTGGCTAAGGAGCAGATCGGGCAGAGACCTTCATGTTCACCCAAGGAGCTCGTGGCCCACAGCCCAGGCACGGTGGGGGTTGGGCCGAAGGCCACTGGAGAACTTCCACGGTCGTCACAAGCTCTGACTCCTGCTGGGTCGGCGGAATGGCGCAAGCCACTTGAATAAGGAACAACAGGGCTTTCCTGGCCACGGCGAATCTCGGCCACGAGCGAATTCACCGACCTAGATGAGGAACGGCCAGAAAACCGGAGCATCTCCTGAGCCCAGAGTGGGACACACGAGGACACACTAGTACTATGTCCTCCTCGGAGGCGTGCGTCCGACCGGTACATATAACACAACCATCTTGTAATAGATCGTTTTCCGAGCGGTACGGCCAGAAAACGCCCGCCACGAAGCATACGCTACAAGATTTCTCGGCGTGCGCGCGTCGCCCCTGGGGGACAACGCACACACATATAGTAAAGCATGTTGGGGTGACGCCGATGGTCCTTATCTCCGCGCCTAGACTGTAAAGGAACAGCCAGCTGCACAAACACAAACTTCTGGACGTCCGCGCGGGTTTCTCGGATCTGCGCCGGAGCAACCCGGCAACGCCCTTCTGGCGCCCCTTCTTGGCGCACTCCATGTGCCAGGAAGAGGGGTCCAGCGCGGGGCCAAGAAATCGTCGCGAAGATCAAGGGAAACATGTTTACGCAATTTGTTCTATCACTTGGCACGCCCGAAATGGGCACGGAAAGTATGGCACAACGCCCAACAGCAGAAAAACTGCCCCAGACCTGCAGCGGCCGCTGTTGGGCGGGCGACTGTCTCTCTAAAGTGGGCCACGTCCGGGACGACACCGGCAGCGAGTCCTGTTTGAAATGGGCTGGAACTAATGTTCGTCTTCGTCCCTCGGAACGACGGTTTCAAGTCTTGAGCGGACGCGTATCATATAACCGCCGTGGCATCCAACTAAACTCGCGCGGATCAACTTTGGCTTTGGAGTCTCTCTTGGTGGATTCGATTTCCGTCCGCGCGGATGCAATCTCGAATTTTCTGGATCTGCGTCTGGTCCCATGTTTTACGGCGGATCCGGTCTCTACCCCGTTTTAACGGGAAACCAAAAGAAATCGGATCTGCGGGCCCCGGAAACTGTCCGTGTCAAGATTCGACTGGGGAAAGGGGTTCGGTCATCAACTTCCCAAGATGGGCCCTGCGCTGTCTCGCGCACTCCCATCAGCTTTCCGCGAGCGCGGGCCCCATTCAACATGAATACATATCTCCCGTCCCGGCTGCTGCACGCAACTCGTCGAGACGCCGTCCGTTCGGCGGCGTCGATGTTACCTCGCGAGCTCCTAATCGCCATTTTCACCTCAAGAGGAAAGTCGTTCGTCCTGCGTCATGGCGTTTCGGCCCTGCGTCTCCTGAGTCAACGGACTGCCTCCTCGTCCTTGTCTTCCTGTCCGCCTCCCGCGCATACAAACGCGTAGGCAGGAAGGGCTCCGGCATGCCCCCAGACGATCTGGAGCTCAGTGCAACGCTAGAAGAAGAGCGGGTCTTCCGTTGGTTCTCGGGCCGTGGCGTGGCCCACAACGATTCCGAATGCAAGGCGCCGTTTGTTTTGTTCGAGGCGTCTCGAACGGGGCCTCTCCTGAAAGGCGCGATTTGTTTTTATTTTTGTATTTGTTTGCGAGGACGTCTCGAACAGGAACTCATGACTGCGCGTGTGGCGGGAAAATTATAGTGAGATGTGGTGTGTCGGCTACGTTGCGACAAACAAGTCCGCAAGCCAAAACGCCCAGTGCGTTTCGGCCCTGCGTCTCCTGACTCAACGGACTGCCTCCTCCCGCTTCCCACGTATAAAGACGCGTGGGCGAGAAGGGCTTCTGCTATTTTGTGGATGCCGGCATGCCCCCACACGATCTGGAGGTCAATGCAACGCTAGAAGAAGAGCGGGTTTTCCGTTGGTTGTCGGGCCGTGGCGTGGCCCACAACGATTCCGAATGCAAAGCGCCGTTTGTTTTGTTCGAAGGCGTCTCGAACGGGACCTCTCCTCAAAAGCGCGATTTGTCTTTATTTTTGCATTTGTTTGCGGGGACGTCTCGAACGGGAACTCATGACTGCCCGTGGCGGGGAGATTCTGGTGACATGTGGTGCGTCGGCTGCGTGGTAACCAACAAGTCCGAAGGCCACGTCGCCCACGTGCAGGCCGATGCTGTTCCTCTTGGCCTTTGGAACGACGGCTTGAAGTCTTAAGCAGACGCGTATGAAATAACTGCCTTGGGATCCAATTCGGGTCAAATTTTGGTTCTGGGTTCTGTTGCGGTGAATTCGATTTCCGTTCGAATTCTGGATCCATGCCGGATCCAATGCCGGCACTGGATCCATGCCGGATTTTCTGGATGTTCTACGGCGAATCCGAGTTCTACCCCGGTTTTAATTTATAATACTAACTGTAAACGGGGAACCAAAGGAAATCGGATCCGCGGACCCTGGATCCGCGGACCCTGGAACCCGCCCGTGTTAAGATTCGACTGGTGGGGGTCGATCATCAACTTCCCAAGATTGGCCCTGCGCTGTCTCGCGCACTCCCATCAACTTTCCGCGAGCGCGGGCCCCACTCAACATGAATACATCTCTCCCCTACCTGTTGCTGCACGCAACTCGTCGAGACGCCATCCGTTCGGCGGCGTCGATGTTACCTCGCGAACTCCCCATCGCATTTTTCACCACAAGAAGATGATCTTGCGTCCCGCGAACATATTATTTCCCGACCGCTAGGTTGGGCATATCGCCCCCCCCTACAGGCGGATCTTCAAGGACAACTGAAAATCGTCCACATAAATTCAAACCTAATCCAAAAAAACAACAATCACAAACCTCCCCCGTAATATTTTTGAACAGTTAGGAATAATCCTCCTGTAGAGGAACATGCCCGACTTGACCCTGCCCATGTCGATCGCGCCGAATCGCAGCGGCCGCCGCGATCGCCGACGTGGCCAGCGTCGCCGGTGTCGCCAGCGGCGCCGCCGTCGCAGCTGCAGGCCACTTTTCGCGGACCCCAGGCTACCCATATCCACTGTCTCCTGTAGAACAAGTGAGAAAGATGCATGCTTTTTGAAACTTCCAAATGCCTTGGGATGCAACTGCTGATGCCGCCCCCCTCCGCCACTGCTGCAAGCGTGCCTGCGCAGTATAATGCTCGACGCGCCGCTTCGGCAGAAACGTCTGCGCAATTGGGGGGGCGGCTCCGGCGATCGCGCGACCGAGCCGCGCGGCTCGCGGCGTCGGGGGAAACGCGGCGGAGCGCGGCGATCCACGGCGAATCGCCGGACAAAATCACAGGCCACTACTGCGCTGGCCGGGCCCTGGCCGAGGCGCACTGCATTGGTGCCCGCTCTCTGGAAAGGGAGAAACACCAAGAACCTCTTTCGCTGATCGCTTGCATGGTCGTTTTCCGCAAAACTAACGACAGCGCAGGATCAAAGTGAAATCTTATGCGGTCGCGTTTCAGACGGGCGATTGCTGTCTCGAGATCAAGTTGCTGCGCGGAGTAATCGATTATATTGCCCTGCAATGGCCGCTTGGCCAATCTTAGCTAAGAAATTCCACCTCGACGCTTGGCCGAGAGGTTTTGCGCCTGCGTCAGATGGGCCCTGTTTCCTCGGCACCTTGCGCGCGGGAGCTCCCCCCTGGGGAACCTTGTCCTGTGCCCGCGAGGATTGGGCGCGCAGGCGGCGCATCTTGCCTGCGCCTTTTCGCGTCGCGATTGTCTTCGCCGAGGAACTGTCTGTGAAAAGACGACGCTTGAGATCAGGCCCGAAATATTTGGCCGTCGCCTTGAAACCGAGACGAGCGACGAAGCCCCCTGCGACGCCGTAGAATTCGCGATCCACGCCCCCCCGGAACTCAGCGCCAACGCGGTCTGAATAGATGGGCGCGTTCAGATGCGGCGCTGCCCATGAAATTGGACACCTTCGCTTGCGCTGCTTCCCGTTCCCAGGCGCCCAGCGCGGTCGCTGCTGTCTGCGTGGGCATCGCAAGAGGACTAGGGCGATTGCATATGAAACCGCTGGCGTGCTCTAGGCCAGTGTCGTAGATGCCCACCAGTACTTCAGTGCCTTTCAATGTCTGCCACCGCGGGGCTCGACGCGCCAAGTGCCGCCCCCTTTCCTGCGAATTGCAGCCCTGCGCGGTCTCGCGCGAGAAAGTTGATCCGCGCGCGCCCGCTACTGAACGGCGCTGTCACAGTGGGATCCAACTTGTCAGAATCAATCGAAAGATGTTGTTTCACGCCAGGAGTTGCCGCTGGCTTTGCGTTGCTCTGCGCGCGGTCCAGGCCGAGCTGAAAGATTGCGCTCTCAGCGTGCCAATGGTCTAGCCTGCGCTCAAGATGCGGCCTCGTCGCCCCCGCGCCAGCGCACCAACGAATTCTCCAGTTTAGACGACGTGTTTCCTGGATGCGGTGTTGGAGGCCACCTGTGGCGCTGCCATCCATACTACCAAATTCATATGTCATGGAATTTGAAATCCGCTGTAAATGTACATCTGAGCCTACTGTAATGAAATCATCTACGTGTGCGTAACATTTGAAATCGCGAGATTCGCGAGAAGAAATACAAGGATTCCACGACCGACTGCGAAACCAACGGACAGGCATCGCTGCCGTGCACACCGCCTCCCAATTCAAAGCGGCACCGCGGGTGTCGCAGAGGCCATGGTTTCAACGGCCGCGGCAGTTGCACATGCGTTTCCCGAGTTGCAGGCGCGTGAGCATGCGCGCGACGAACGTCCACACATGACAAA